AATTATTTACATAGCTGTGATGATCTTTTTCCAAAGGCCCTCAATGGTTCCTAGACTCTGTAGGGTTTTCCCCCAACAGTTTCAGAGTGTCATATCTTATGATAAGGTCTTTGACCTGTTTTGTAACAATGACATGTAATTTGGGGAATTGGGGGATTTTTTTTCTACCCTCATTTCTTTCTTAGCCAGTTAATTATTGGAATATCAAAAAGCTATTTTATTTTTTTATGTTATATTCTGGTACTTTACTACATATGGGCTACAGGAGCATATCATCTGTAGGTAGGGATAAGCTGATTTCTCCCTGTTGTTTGTATCTCTTGCATGATTGAGCTGGCTTCTTTCTTCTCTTGCCTAATTGATCTAGCTAAGACTTCAAACTCTGGATTCAGTGAGCAGATACCCTGGTCTCATACCTGTTTGTGAAAAAATTCTTTCACCTTTTCTCTATTTAGTGTTATGTTGGCTAGAGTTCTGCCCTTACATTCCTTCTATTTCTGGTTTCTCCAGCTCTCATTAAGAAGGGAGGTTAAACTTTGCCAAATGCCTTTTCTGCATCTATCAAGATAACCTCATGATTTCTATCCTTGACTCTATGTGCTGTATTAGTTTATTGATTTACATATGTTCAAGCATCCTTGCATCCCTGGAATGAAACCAACTTGATCATGGTTTATCATCTTCCCAATGTGCTTCTGAATTTGGCTTTCATATTCTCTTGAGAATGTTTTTGTGTATGTTCACCAGAAATACTAGACTATAGTTTCCTTCCTGTTTCCTCCCTCCTTCCTTCCCTCCCTTCTCTCCTTCCCTCCTTCTCCCTCTTCCCCTTTCCATTTCTTATGTGTGTTCTATTTGGTTTGGGTATGAGGATAACACTCCTCTCATGGAATGTGTTTGGTAGTGTTAGTTCCCTTTCCATGGGAAAGTGAGGGGGATATGGGGTTAGCGCCTTTTTAAATGATCTGGTAGAATGTGGCATGAATACCTTCTTTGTTGGCTTTTCTTTCTAGACTTTTCAGCTTTGCCGGAATGTAGGTTTTCAAACTGTTCCCTAATGAGTCTCTGTGGTATCTTGGTCTCTATTGTACTGATTTTTCATCTCTAATTCTGCTAATTGGGGGTTCTTTTCCTTTTGTTTAGTTTGTATAAGAGTTTGTTGACCCTGCTCATCATGTCAAAGGCCAACTCTCATTCATGAGTTCTTTTCGGGTCCAACTTCATACATTTCTGCTTGTTCTTTGTTATTATTTTCCTTCTACTATTTAGGATTTGGCTTGTTTCTGGTTTTCTAAGATCATGAGGTGCACCATTCAATTGTTTATTTGAGACATCTGACTTTTACACATGTACACACACACACACACATTTTCATCTTTGAGTCGGCTTTGATGTATCCTGCAGAATTTTGATAAGTGCTATTATCTGACTTGCATTTGATTCTAGGGATTTTTAAATACCCTGTGTGACCTCTTGAATGGCCCACTGATCAGCCATAGTACGCTGTCCCATCTCTATGTATTTGTGGACTTTCTGTTCATGCAGCTGACTTACAATTTTATACCACTATGATACAACAAATCATTTTTATTCATTTGTATTCATTATTATTTTATGGCCTAAAATATAGCCTATTTTAGGCTGAGAAGACTGTGTTCTGTGGCTGTTTGATGGGACATCCTGTAGACAGATGTATGTTTAGTCCATTTGGCCTGTGATAGAGTTGAACTCTGAAGTTTCTTTGTTGATATTTTTCTCTGGGTGGCATCTGTTAATGAGAGCTGGGTACTGATGCTGCCTTTCTTGTTGTATGGGTTGCCATAGATCCTTTTCTGTCTAGTAGGCTTTTTAAAATGATATATACACTAACTGTGTGCGTACACTTAGAGTCATTATGTCATCTTCACAGAGTGTTCCCGTTAGTAATAGAAAGTGATTTTTTTTCTCTTCCAGCTAATTTAGGCTTGAAGTCTACTTCACCAGATATAAATATAGCTATTTGCTTGTTTGGGGCCTCTATTTTCTTGGTAAATTGACTACTGTCTTTTCCCTTCAGCCACTTATAAGGTATGCTCCTAATGAAAAAGTTGGATTTTGTTTTTAATCCTACCCAACAGTCTGTGTTTCTTCATTGAGGATTTAAGACTACCTACATTGACGGATTTGCTGATTCTTTATCATTTTCTTAGTTGTTTTCCTGAATGTTCTATTTTCTTTCTTTCTTTTTTTTCTTCCCTATTTGTATTAGGAACTTTGTGGCTGGCTAATTAATTTGGATTTAATTGGTCATTTCTAATGTTCCATTGCTCATCTATTCCTCCTGTGAAATTGTTTCCCGTGTTCTTGCGATAGATACCGCCTTTCTCTCTCTGTGGTAGATTGAATATCCTTTGCCTAGGGAATGGCACTATTAGGAGGTGTGGCCTTGTTGGAGTGGGTGTGGCCTTGTTGAAGTAGGTGTGGCCTTATTAAAGGAAGAGTGTCATTGTGAACATGGGCTTTAAGACCCTCCTCCTAGTTGCGAGTCTTCTTCTGTTTGCCTTAAGAACAGCTCCTCTTATATCATGCCTGCCCAGACTCTGCTATGCTCTTACCATGATGATAGTGGACTGAACCTCTGAACTTGTAAGCCATCTCTAATTAAATGTTGTCCTTTTAAGAGTTGCCTTGGTCGTGGTGTCTGTAAAATCCTAACTAAGACACTCTCCTCTGGGCCATTTGCCATAATGCTGGTTTGATAGTCTTGAATTACTGTAGTTTGTGCTTCGCCTTAAAATGTCTTTATTCCCCTACCAGTTTCAAAATATGGCTTTGATGGATATAATCATCTTGGTTGACAAATGTTTACTTTCAGTGTTTAAGGTTTGTAAATTCATATTATCCTTGCTTCTACTGTACTGTCTCTCTAGGAGGCCTGCTGTCACTCTGATGGGCTATTTGCAGGTGGTAGTTAGCACTTGCAGATTTAATTATTGTTTCTTTGTTTTGTTCTTTGACCATCTTGACTGTGGTGGATCATGGAGAGATTCTATTGACTCATGATGGTTTTTTGTTTGTTTGTTTGTTTGTTTGTTTTGAGATTCTTAGTCTTGGATAGCTGTATCCCAAGATTTGTGAAACTTTATGCTATAATCTTATTGAATCCTATGGCCCACCAATTCCACTCCTGGAAATATACTTAAAGAACTCCACACACTACCACAAAGGTGATTGAACATCTACGTTTATTGCTGCTTTATTCACAAAAGGAGTAAAATGTAAACAACATACATTTCCACCAACAGATAAATGGATAATAAAAATTCAGTATAAATTGAAATGGAACATGATTCAGCTGTCAAGAAAAATGAAATCCTGGAATTTGCAGTAAATTCGAAGACTTGAAAATTTAGTATTTAGCGAGGTAATTCAAACTCAGAAAAAACAAATCCTCATGGTCTCTTTTATCCCTTATGTGTAGACCTTAGCCTATAAAGTATCCGTGCAAATGGCTATAAGTGTGGATATAGCATAAGATTTTAAAACAAGTCTAAGATAATATTAGATAATGAACAAGGAGAGAATGCTGACCGAAGACATGGGAGTCATGAAAGAGAGTATAAAGCTTCATTTATTTTCCTAGTTTCAAATCCATTAATTTTTCTTCTTTTTTTTTTCTTTTTGTCATGGATAAGTTTATAAAAATATGATTGACAGTAAACTTATAGAGCCCTAAGCAAAGCTTCATTGCTCCAGCATGACCATTCTAACTGCAAAAGCTCAGGTCACTGAGGTATATAGAGTTTGGGTCTGGACATATGTTTCAATGGTTTTCTCAAGCTAACTGTGCGATGCTTATATTTGAGTGTTATTTAGAATGCAGTGATTGTATTTTAAATTTTTTTCATCGAATAGATTGGATGTCTTTAGTTTTTTTTTTTCCTCAGTCCCCCCTACTCCACATAGCTTTGATCACTTAGTGGTATCCCTAAGGTCTTGGCTTTTTCTGTTTGCTTGTTTTTTTTTTTTTATTATCATTATCTTTAGTCTTTCCTCACAGTCCAGTCACTATCCCCTCCCATTCTGCCCTCCGACAGTTCCCCATCCCATTCCTCTTCCTCCATCTCCAAGAGGATGTTTCCACATCCCCACAGACCCCTACCAGATGTCCTCACTCCCTGAGGCCCCGAGTCTTTCAAGGGCTAGATGTGTCTTCTTCTCTCACTGAGGCCAGGACCAGGTAGTCCTTCACTGTATTTGTCTGGAGCCTCTGACCAGCCAGTGTATGCTGTCTGGTTGGTGGTTCAGTGTCCGAGAGATCTCGGGGATCTAGGTTTGTTGAGACTGTTGGTCTTCCCATGGGGTCACCCTCCTCCTCAACCTCTTCCAGTCTTTCCCCAATTCATCCACAGGAATCTCTGACTTCATACCATTGGTTGGGTGCAAATATCTGCTTCTCAGAAGGCAGCCATGCTAGGCTCCCATCTGTAAGCACACCACAAGTTCTTGGGTTTTGTGCTTTGGGTTTTCACCTTTTTCATTACTGATGTCTGATATAGTCTTCCCTTAGTGATGTCTGTCATCCTGATGCTGATTATGCATTCTCTGGTCCTTTGGTGATGCTGCTGCTGTTTCCGAATCCTCTGGTCCTTTGGTGATGCTGATGCTGTTTCCGAATCCTCTAGTCCTTTGGTGATGGTTTTCATTGTGCTTTTTATTTGACTCACTGAGACTTGTGCTTTCTCTTGGCAATCGAAGGCTCCTTGATGAATTTCTCCTCTATGTTGCTGCCCTTCTCAGTTACTGACTTTTCATCTACATCCTGAATTGATTTCCTTACTTCATTTATCTGCTTTTTCCTCCTTTGAAGTCATTGATGTTTTTGTCTTTTTATGTAGACTTTGAGATCTTTGTCCAGCTTTTCAAACCATTTCTGTATCTCTGGGTTAGGTAATTAAGAAGTAATGATCTCTTGGAGATTTCATATGGCTTTGCCTTTTTGCATTTCTTGTGTTTATATATTGTTTCAGGTCACTATTCTGGTCTCTTTTGGGGGGGGGGTTCTTAGTGAATTGTTGACTCATTAAGAGTTTAATCTATCATAGGATTCAGAAAGGTGACATCAGCCTGCTGTGACAACCAAATTCAGAAATCACTGTCCAAAAGAAAGTGTGCAGCATTAGAACCCCGTTGGGTTTTCAAAAACATTGACACTGAATTTATCAATTGCAACCAACAGGACTTAATTCTCAAAATAGTCAAGTTGCTGATCTATTAGATTTATATAAGTGTAAAAAAATACACCATCATAAAGCTTTAAGTAGACTTCAGAGAGAGGATGTTTTAAATATCTAGCATATGACAATAACTTACTTTATACACACACACACCCATGGGATGAAAGACTGGATTGTCTAATCCACCTGAGTAAGATAGAGCCAGGCCTTTGTCCTTTGTCCTTCTGCCCTTCCCCAGAGTCAGATGGTGGTGTCCCTTAGTAAGGGTCATGGTAACAATGCTAAAAAAAAAAAAAAAAAAAAAGAAAGAAAGAAAGAAAATTAAAGGATAAAACAAATCAGAATGTATATGGTTTGTTTTGGTTTTGAGATAGGGGTTCAGTAGCTCAGGTTTAACTCAAATTCCCTTTTTCAGAAAGGATGACCTTGAACTCCTGATCTGCCTCCTCTGCCTCCTCTGCCTCCCCAGAACTGAGATTAGAGGCATATCTACTTACCCAGACTGGGAATTGAACCCAGGGCTTTACGAATGTGAGGCAAGCACTCTATCAACTGAGCTAATGCTCCAATCCTGTATTTTGCTTTATTACATATAACTAATAGTCTAGCACCATAACATGGTGGCAGGCATGGAGAAGTCATTGCCTCCTTAGGTGTAAGCCAGAGCGGTCTTCTTTGGTTTTCATCTGGCTACTTCACTCTGGGTGAGGCCGTACCAAGTGTCCACTCTCCAGCTTAGCTATGGACTAAGTGCTGAAGACAGTTTTCTGACTTCAGCAGAATGAGGTCAGGGGTCAAATCCATTTTTGGAACCTGCTCAGAACATTTCCTAAATTCTGGCTTCCGAAGTGTAACCCGAAACACAGATGCATGAGCCCCTAGTGTCCCCAGGGTGCTGAGCGTGCCTAGGGATACAGAACTTATGGGCAAGGACAGAAGTGCCCTTTGCAGTTGGGACAAGACATGACCCCAGAGGCTCGTGAACGAGAAACACTTGAGGACACTTGGTCTCCAGTTGGTGTCACTGTTCGGTGAGGGTATGGAACCTTTAGGAATTACAGCCTTGCAGGAGAAAGGCTGGCTTTGAGGTTTCGTAAATTTGCGCCGCTTCCTGTTCCCTTTAACCCACTTCCTGTTCCCTTTAACCCACTTCCTGTTCCCTTTAACCCACTTCCTGTTCTCTCTGCTTCTCTGTGTGGATGAAAATTTGATCGGCCAGCGTCTTGCCCCCACAGACATGCTTTCCCCGACAGCCTGCCTTTCAGCTGTGGAAGACTCTATTTCTCTGGAATAGCTAAGATGAAGCCCTTTATCCTCCACATTGGTTTTGGTCATGGTATTTTATCACGGCAACAGGAAAATAACTAATAAACATTCTTTCCTCACAGTGATTGTCTGGGCTTCTTTAGGAAATGATGCGGATCGGGATGGAGGCCAGAGACAGGGTCCATCAAGCTTTAGTGAGCAGACGGGACATCAAGGAGTCAGAGGTTGACAATACCACGTTTAAAACCATCCTTGCACGCTGTTGTGAAGGGATCCTGTGAAGATAGAGGCGTGGAACATAGAGTTTTAAACACTAAATAAAATTCTAAATATTTAGACATATGCTAAGGAAGCTTCCATTTGTACCCTTCTGAGCCTCACGAACTATACTGTACTTCTAAAAATCATAGAAAAATATGATAAAGCAATGGGTTTCAGATTTATATAATATTTATAAAAATCAACTGAGATTTTTATAAAAAAAAAAACACACACACACACACAAAGCTAGGCTGAAACCTTTCATCCATTCAAATTCCATTGGCTTGTATTAGGACTTGAAATGAATTTTTACTAATTTTTAAATTTGGTTTGGTTTAGTTTTGTTTGTTTGACTGACTGACTGATTGATTGATTGATTGTGTCCTGCTATGTAGCCCAGCATAGCCTTGAAATAAATGTGCCTCCTCCCACTGCCTACTACAGGCTTCCTTGTGCTAGGATTATAGGCACAAGTCACCACACCTGGCTTTCCTGACTGGTTTTAACAGAGGTGGTCCAATTGCTGTCTAATCTTGGAGAATTCTTAGTGGAGCTGGTAATCTCATTTACAAACAAATGAAAGTCAGTAACTAAAGGACAATTTTGAACTATTATCAACAAAGCACACACTCAACTTGATATATAGTCAAAATTAAAATATATTAAGCACTGTTGTTCCCTACCACATAGTCTCCTTGGAGGTTAGCATTGTAGCCTAAGCAAGCAGCTATCACTCACAAGACTTTGACACTAATTTTTTTTCACAGCCTTTGGAGCCACATCCAAAATCCAATCTCATTCTTCCACATCACAGTTTGCATTTGACAGAAAGCAGCCTTAGCCAGAAGGATGGTGCATATTACTTAGCAGATTTAGTTCCTGTATTTTCCAAGTCATATAAGTAATAAAAGAAGATCTATTATATAAACATACCTGTTTATTTCAGCTTCCTATGGAAACTATACTAACATGAGGCTGGAGGAGGGGCACCAATTTACACAGACAAAGAAAGTGAGGGAGAAGACTCCGGGAGGTTACAGGAGTCACTGGTAAGGGAACCCGGAAGCAAGTGGAGAGGTGTCCCTGAGGTGGTGGCAAAGAAAGCTGGATCCTGAGCCAAAGGAATACAAAGGGGCAGGCTGATTTGACCTCTGAACCCTGCTTCAGGAGTCAGAGGTCACAGGTAACTCTAAAGATGAATGTGGGTTTTGGAAACAAACATCAGAAAACATAGACTAGTTGGTGTGACCAATAAACAGTATCATCGATTTCTTATTGGGAGAAAGAAGTCACAGTTGGAGCAGCATCTCTGCCTTCCTAAGTTCCATTGGCTCTGCCTTCCTCTGGGAATTGAATCTGACCTCAGTTTGGCTCCTTTGACAGTGGCAAGAAGATCCCCTCAGTTCCCAATGAGACAGTGAACCAAGGACCGTATTTGATGGTGCTCTCAAACACAAGGTAGCATTTTTCAGAAGCCACTTCCTCTGCTGTTCTTGTCACCTGTCCAGAATCATACCTCATCCCCGTGCCGAACCCTTGACTGATGGAGACTATTCAAGAACCAGGCTCTGGGGCTGGGGCCACCCTGCCAAATAAAAAGGAGAGGCTAGAAAGGGTAGTATGAACACCTGAACAAAGTATCAGTGAGCAGGAAGAGGCCAGAAGAGCAGAGCTAACTAAGAGGAGGCAACCACACAGAATGGAATCGTAGTCAAGATTAATGCTGTAAATTAAAATCCAGCCATTAGTAATGTAATCTTGTCTTTGGAAGTAATTTTAAGAAATGTGTTTCAATATGGAAATTTCAGAGGTCCATCACAACATGATTTCAATTTGAGTAATTTCTCAGCCATTGTTTCAAACATCTGTTAACTCTGTGTCCCTCCCCCACCATCGCCTACCACAAGCTTTCAGTGAGGATAGGAAGATTGTTCAGCAGGTAAGAGGCTCGGGTGTGAGAGCCTGAGTTCTGGATCTAGAACTCATATAAAGCCAGCTCTGGGTAGGATGGGGGAGGGATCTGTAATGTCAGTGCTCTGTGACAGAGAGATTAGGAGGTGGAGAAGCAGATGGCTAGGAATGTGCACCCTACACAGCAGAGAGACCTTGTTGTCTCAATCAAGATGGAAGGCAAGGACTGATACCCACGGTTGTTCTCTGACCTCCACACCTAAGCTGTGACTTATGTCACACACACACACACACACACACACACACACACACACAGAGAGAGAGAGAGAGAGAGAGAGAGAGAGAGAGAGAGAGAGAGAGAGAGAGAGAGAGAGAGAGAACACAACAATAATCACCTAAATCACCTATGGACAGAAGCTACAGCATTCTGAACCCTGTTCTGAACCCCGTTTTGCCCACTTCAACTCCACCGAAGGCTGTGATCTGTGGGCATGAGATGGTCCTGGCGATAGATGCTCAGATTGAGAGTAATTAAAAGGTGTTAACGGTATAGGAGGTGGGAAGCAGTGCAAGCCCAACTGAGGCATTTAGCTATTATATTGCTGCACCCTTTTAGGGCTTCTTTCAGCTTATAAATATTAATTTAAAGACTACCAACAAGGAGTAAACAGATTTGGGCATAAAACTTCCTGTCAGGGGTGATTTATATCCAATAAAAGGAGGGCAGGATAGAGAAAGCCTGCTTCGCTAAGTTTACGATAGACAGTGAAATAGTACCATCAAAATGAAAAGGATTGCAGTGTCGGCCGTGTGGGTGTCTCCCTTCTTAATAAGCAGTGGCCGGAGCTGTATTGTTTGCTTTTATCAGGGCCTCACAGGGCTGAGGGAAACTTCTGGATTGCTCACTGAACATGTACAGATTTATAGGCTCAGGGCCTGAGCATGAGCGAGATCATTGGGACTTAAAAGATAATAGCACCAGCTAGAAAATTAAAACAGCTCTCTCCACTTACCTGTCATCAGTTCATGGCGCCTGCTCTTCCTACGCCCTACAGTAGTGTAGGGATGTGTTAGAAGTAAGATCTTCCATGAAGGAAAGACTCCATGCCAGAAGAATTTGCAGCCAAGTCCACAGGTCTACAGGAGCCCTGCCTCCATGTGTATGAAAGTGATGCCAACAAAATGGTTTTGCAGAGACTGGGACAATGGTTCATGCAGTACATGAAGACGTGAGTTCAAATGGATCCCCAGTAAATGCATAAAAAAGATGCTGAGTGTCAGGACATCTATGACCCCAGCTGTTGGGAGACAGGAAGGTTGGCTATCCCAAAGTCCTGAAAAGTCCAAGTGGGCAGGAACCAGCAACATACAGAATAACCCATACCCTCAAGCCAGTAGACCCCTAGTAACAAGAGATGCATATCTATGAATCAAGTAAGTCTAGGTGAAGGAAGAGGGCAAGGTATCATGGCTCACCCCAGGCTTTTAAGTGGAAATATCTGTGTGTTACATCTCACTTAGGAACTGAAGCAGCACTGTCTTTCTCAGTGGTGTGGTGTGATGGGATGGGGACCCAGACAATTAAAACTTCTTTCTTGTGTCCACATGGCTAGAGAAAGATGCCTTTACGTATGAATAACTGTATATCTACTATAAGTATAGACATATACTTCCTGGTTCATCAGAACGTCTAGCTTTAATACAGCTTACCCTTTTTGTTAACGTTGCTGGTTTGGATATACAATAAAAGCAAAACCTCACTTTGTAAACTTTTTAACTGTGTATGTGCCCATGCCTCTGTGTGTGGTGTATACACTCACATGTGCTTGTGTATGTGCCCATGCCTCTGTGTGTGGTGTGTGCACTCACGCTTGCTTGTGTATGTGTGTGTGCTCATGCCTGTGCATCTGCATGTGCATATATATATACACACCTCTGTGTGTGTGTATGCATATGTGTGTGTGTGTGCACATGTGCATATGTGTCTGTGTGTGTGTGTGTGTGTGTCTGTGTGTCTATGTGTGCTTAGAAGGGCAAGATGCACTTGGTGGCCAGAAACATTAGAGTCACAAGCAGTTGTGACTCTCCCAGTGGGTGTTAAGAACCAAACTGGAGTTCTCTGTGGCACTGCTGTGCTCCTAACTGATGAGTTGTCTCTACTGCCCACAACTGCATTCCTGCTTCCCGTGGCTGCATCATCTGACTGGTTCTGTTGTGGGTACTCATGGTGAACCAGACACAAGATGGTCAGTCTGTTGGGAGTTATTATTTTCCGGATGTAGGAGGTACTATGTCCATTCTCCTATGTTCTCAGGGACAGTTGAACACCCTGTTCAGACTCTTCCCCAGGAGGGATGATGCCATATGGCTAAGTTTTTACCTATCCTTATTTTAAAGATTATAAAATTGTTCCTTTTAGGCCATTATAGGGACTTATATAAAAAGTGCTAAGTCTGATGGCGTTCATCATAAAACACACGGAGGTATTCCCAAAGTTCCACTTGGAGATAACACCTAGATTAAAAATAATGGGGATGGATTTGTGGCAGGCAGGAAGCCTGGAATGAGACGCTACTGTGCTTAAAGAGGACAGTATGGTTGAACAAAGCTTGTACGATGGAATTAACATGAAACAAAGGCCCTCCGAGGAAGATCAGTCTGAAAAGGAATGAGGAATCCATAAAACTTTGTTTAATTTATGGGATTGATATGCTGCTGACCAGTAAGTATAACGTCCCGTTCCCCTGGACCTCACCATCAGTCATGTATCACTTGTCAGTAACCGGGAATGCACTAGGAACGTAATGGCTCCGGTAATATTTCTGTTCCCACCGCAGCTTTACTGCACCCGTGAAACTCTGCAATCTTTAAATTCCCTCACTGTTAACATCTGCTGGAACGTTATTGGTCCCAGCATAGCCACGCTGCTCAGAAATTACATTTAGCAGAGTAGTTAATTCTGAGGGTGTAATTCTAGAAACAACCGTGACTGAAAGGAGTGTACACTCGCCCAGTGGCTGTGTTTCCTCTAGGGCTTTCCTTTTTTTCGTATCTGTCTTGTATCATGAGCTCATTGGCTTGAGAGTGTGCCCTTTAAGAGCTA